GACTACTAGCCTGGGCTGCTTGTTTTGTCTCTGAAATTGACAAGGACGCAGGGAATCCGCTGCTAAATAATGTTTCTGGTAACTTTCACGTTATTCCCCCTCCCACCCTCCGCTCCCTGCCCCCGGGGAGGCACTGGCCCTAGTCTTTCCTCGTCCTCGGCGTTCTTGTGCTGATTATTAGCGTTTTTCTTCTCTTTATTTTGTTTCATTTCGCCTTTTGATTTATTGGATCCTCAGAGGAGGCGAAGGGGGGTTAGGGGTGGGATCCGGGGTTTCCTCCTCACACTAACTCCACTTCTCCCTCCGTTGGCTCGCTACGGTTCTGTTGCCTCCGGCGGGAGCGGGGCCTCCCGGCGCCCCCTCAAATCCCCGGCCTCGCCGCCTCCTCTTCCTTCTCTAAACGTTGCTCTTGGTTCATGCTTTTTCATTTTTAAATTTAATAACATTTTTTCCTCACAACTTTTAACTTCGTTGTTTTGGCTGGTTTGGTTTCTGTGTGCTCAACTTGTGCTCGGTACTTTTCTCCTTTCTGACTTTGTTTTTATTTTTATTCTCTCTCTCCTCTCTCTCTCTTTCTCTCTCTCTCTCTCTCTCTCTCTCTCCCCCCCTCCCTCCTCCTCCTCTCCTCTTTCTTACCTCTCTCCCTCCCTCTCTCCTTTCTCTCATCTTTATCCCTTCCCCTCTTTTCTGTTCACCCTCTTCTCTCTGCTCTTTTTCCCTTTCCACCCCCCTCCTCTGTTCTCCCTCACCTCCTGCGCCCCCTCCCTCTTCCCGGGTTCTGACAGTACGATGAGCTACCCCATTACGGCGGGATGGACGGAGTAGGGGTTCCCGCTTCCATGTACGGAGACCCTCACGCGCCACGGCCGATCCCCCCGGTTCACCACCTGAACCACGGGCCGCCGCTCCACGCCACACAGCACTACGGCGCACACGCCCCGCACCCCAATGTCATGCCGGCCAGCATGGGATCCGCTGTCAACGACGCCTTGAAGCGGGACAAGGACGCGATCTATGGGTAAACCGACTCCCCGGACCCAGCTTACTGTGTGTGAGTGTGAGTGAGTGTGTGTTTGTCTCTGTGGGGGTGGGAGGGTGGACCACTAAGTGGGGAGTTATTTCTGCATGGTGGGGGGCGGGCGCCGCTTGCCTTGGGAAAGGACCGTGGGGGGGGCCTGCTCTTCTGCCCCTGGAGTCAAAGACTCGAAGAACTAGCCTCCTTCACTCCCACAGCCCGGTCACTCCGGACGCCACAGCCTGGAGTGACTGAGTCCCCAGAATCCTGCCGGGGCCTTCTCCCCGAGGACAGGATTCCTGGCTGAAGGACGCGGGGCTGCTCGTTTCAGTCTCCCTAACAGAGGCCTTGACGAAGGAGAAAGTTTCCTGCCGATGAGGAGCAACTTTGGGTTTTTTTTAGTTATTTTTTTCTTCTGTTTCCTATTGAGGGTCTGGGAGTCACTAAAAGCAGCTTGAGCTGGGATCAGGGCTGCTTCTGTCGGCCAGGAAGTCCTAATCACCCACTTCTTAATTCTCTGTAAATAAAGGGGGCAGACCTTGAAGTGCAGCGAGGTGGAAGGGACTGTTGCTTGCTTGGAGCCGCTCTTAGGGGGAGTAAGGAAGATGGCTGGAAATTATTTTATATTCTGAGAGCACTTGGCGAGGGGTGGGATGCAGGATCCTAACGTGTACCACACGAGCTCTTCCGGCTGAGGGTAGGTGGGAAAAGCGACGGGATGCCGAGGGGAGGGGACAGTGGGTAAACAGCAACTGAGCCCGAAGCCAGAGGCCGCAAGCATCCCGAAGTGTGGCTAAGCCGCCCGGAGGAACACAAAGGGCATACGCGCACGCACACTTACAAGTTTTAAAACGCGATTTATTTATTTTTGTCTCCTGTAACGCTGAGAGAAATGTGGTCTTTGGAAGGAAGCTCTACAGCGTGTAACCTTCCTATTATTTCGGCCCCCACACTGGGGCTTTAGTAGAAGTGGAGCAAATAAGTTTATAAGGCAAGGGGATGGATAGATTAGAAGAGCATTCTCTTGCATTTAGGAAATGTCACTCCCGTGTGTCTGTAGGTGAAGCCTTCGGCCTCGTCTGAAATGCCCATTAAAATGCAGAGTTAAAACTATTTTTTTAAAATTTCAAACAGTGTTCCTTTCTTGGGAGATCAGGGCTGGGTCTCAGGGGTTGGTTCGGCGGCCTCCGTAGTGTGGGGAGTGGATCAGAATCGACTCAGGGCTCCAGACCGCCTGAGCGACTCCGATGTTTCATTACGTTCCAACTGAGGCTGTTTTTATTTGTCGGGCTGCAGTGGTCGAGGGCTTCTCTGGCCAGATCTGAGGGACTTCTGAGCTGCGAGAGAGGGCCAGGCCCTTTTCCCTTTCTGTTTCTGGCTTAGGCTCGGCTGATGGAGGAAGGGTTGTAAAGTGTGTTGCGTGCCTGTTGTATTAAAGAAGGACTCCACACCCTCCAAACTTGTTGATTACAGTTCTTGCTCCTTCCCCTCTGCACCCCGTCTCTGTGTGTGTGTCTCTGCGTGGCGCTGCCCGTTAGGCACCCGTTGTTTCCTCTGTTAGCTCTGGTCTTTGAGAAGTGCGAGCTGGCGACCTGCACTCCCCGAGAACCTGGAGTGGCCGGCGGAGACGTCTGCTCCTCCGACTCCTTCAACGAGGACATCGCGGTCTTCGCCAAGCAGGTCCAGCCTTCTTGATCCACTCATCTTCGGGCAGTCCCTCACTACCCCTCCCCTTTCCTCGGAGCTTTACTTGAAAGGAGGAAAGGCCAGGGACACCCGATCTGTTCCTCTGGCCCAGTCCGCTCTCTATGCCTCCTCCCCATCCCTGAGCCTGGGGGCGAATTGGAAGTGGAGATAAATATGGGTGTTTGTTTTCCCCCCCAGCAGGAATACGGGGTCTCGACCCTCGAATTAAAGTTGACCTGCTCCTAATCTGGGGCTTGGCCTTTTTCCCCCGCCTCCAGCTACTTGAACAAGAATTGGGGAGAGGGGCTGTGAGGGACCCGGTAGTGCCCGGGAGGCAAGGAAGCTGGGCGCCTCTCCCAGCGGTCCCAGGCAGCAGTGGAGAGCCACAGCCTCTTGGACGGCTAGATAAGGGGATACTTGCGGCCCTGAGAACGACCCTGAGTTGCTGGTTACAGCTTAGTGATACCAGCTCCCCCTTAATGGGGTCAGGACCAGAATGCCCTGATTCTTCTTCAGCGACCCCACTAATTTAAGGCACCAGTTTTTCCTTGTATTTTCCCAAGCCCCTTTCCTCTTCTCCACCACTGCCCCTTTACCGTCCCCATCCTCACATTTCAGTTTTCTTATTTTAAATGGGGTGACCGTTCAAGCTGACTTTCTCTGTTTCTTACAGGTTCGCGCCGAAAAGCCCCTTTTTTCCTCAAATCCAGAGCTGGACAATTTGGTAAGGCTCTCTGTTCCTTGTTTTTCCCCAGCCTTTGCCCTCTCCCATGCCCAGAAGCACCCACTTTCTGCTGGAGCTCTGGGGAGTTAGAACAGAACCCTCTTTTGGAGCTCTAGGGAGAGAGGGAGGAAGGGCGCAGCCTAGAGCCCCCGCACGGGAGCTGGCGAGCGAGGAGCAGGATGAACGTGGTGGGGAGCGAAGCCCAGGGAGGCCAGAACGGGAGACCAAGCGCCGAGAGCGCGAGCAGGGGATGTTTCCCAGGTCTCGGCCCCAGGAGTAAACTGCGAGAAGTGAGTTATTTCCTCTGTTTGCCGGGGCAGGCGGCCGAGCCCCGGGCGGCTAACCCGAAGGATGTAACCGCTGGCACTGCTGAGGGCGGGCTGGGGGTGGGGGCTGGGGGGCGGTGAGGGGCAGGCCAGCGCAGGCCACTTTTAGGTGCGATTCTTTTGCTAATTTGCACGATTTCAATATTAAAAGTACTTAAATCCGCTTTCAAAGGCCCTGCCTCAGCATTCATCTTGAGTATTTCCTTCTTTAGTGAGGAAGGATTTCGCTGGGTATGCTGTTCTAAAAAGCTTTTTCTGTCCTGAGAAGCGACCTTTTTTTTTTTTTTTTTTTTTTTTTTTTTTTTTTAATTGTCCTGAGGTCGAGGGAGGGGATGTTTAAAGAGGACTAAAAGGAGAAAAAAGGCCTGGCCCGAGGAAAGCAGTCCTTACAAATAGCACAGTGAACATCAGGGGGAAAGATATTAATGCTTATGCTCAGGTTGAGTCAGATTCCTACCCCGTGGCCAATGAGGCAAAGATGATCAGTAATCACTTGATTTTTCTGACTATTTCTTGATCTTTAAGTTTTTCCTGGTCACCTGCCCGTTTCTTCTCCCCAGCCCAATTTTCTCACCACCATCGTCACCCCACTCCCAACCCCAAGACAGGACCTCAGAGTCACACAGCTCTAACTCCATTCCCTGAACTTTGCTTTCAGATGATACAAGCAATACAAGTCCTAAGGTTTCATCTTTTGGAGTTAGAAAAGGTAAGCAGGAAATAACACTCCCGGTGTTGATTAAACCACTTCCCTCTTCTAGTTGAGTTGGGATGTTTTTAACAAACCTCTAGTATGAAGGATTGAGCACCTGGAGATTTTGAGCATGTAACCATGTCCATCCTTCAACTCGCTTCTCAACACAGGGGCTCAGAGGGTGTGTGAATCAGGACAGGCTTGCCTTTAAAATAGCCCCCTCCTCCCTGATATTCCCCTCAGGCATTCAGGATTATTTTGAAATGCAGCAAACCATTTATGTTACTGGACACTCAGCCTGCTTGCATCTTTATTAGCTCAGCTCACCCTCGGCCCTGGGTTTGCATTAGGTGCAGGCAGAGTGAATCATCCTCACTGGGTGTCTTTACATTGCTCTGCAGCTCAATTACTTTCCCCTGGAAACATACAGAACCCCTAGCTTATAAAATCACAAACGTTAATGCACTCCCCAGTTTCAATGTGGTAATGTTTTGATGTTATTATCAAATCAGATTTAATTCCCTGGACTCCCAGTCTGAACCCAGTTATTTCCAGTCCTATTTCTTTCTTTCTCTATTGTAACTTGTTGCTCAGAGAAGTCTCTGGAGAATAATATCTGCTGCAACAATTACTCTATTGTTTCCTTGCCTTCAACTATTACACCCTTTAATTAGAGTTAGTTTGGAAGACATCACACTGTTGCTCTTTCCAAATGTAACCTTGCAACCTGGTATTTTTCCTTTCTAAAAATGAAACAAAACAACAACAACATGAGCTGAACCCTCCACCATGACCTTCGTTCTAGGTCCACGAACTGTGCGATAACTTCTGCCACCGATACATTAGCTGTTTGAAGGGGAAAATGCCCATCGACCTCGTCATTGATGAAAGAGACGGCAGCTCCAAGTCAGATCATGAAGAACTTTCAGGCTCCTCCACAAATCTCGCTGACCATGTAAGTCTGCTAGCCTTTGACAATCTTTTAAGGCCACTGGGCAAAGCATTATTGTAAAGTTGTTTTAACATCTAGCTCCACTGATTTAGTTTTCTTTTGAAATGACTTGGTCTCTTTTGGGGTCTTGTCTTTCTTGCTATCTCTGCCATACCCTTCATTTTCATTTCTCCTTTCCTGGACCCCCTCCTATTTATGTGGAGAGCCAAAAAACCAGAGAGTTGATAGAGTGATTTGTGGTCTTAATGTGTAAAGTTTTCTGGATTTGGTGACTTGGGTGTTAACAAATTCTGTTTGATACAGTCACTACTGTGTCTTCTGCTGTCTTAATTTTGTGTCATCAGTGCAGCAGGGATAGAAAGAAGCAAGACGGTTAGCTGGACTGGTCTGGAGAGAGAGGACTGAAGGAAAGAGAATTGGGGAGTGAGTGCTAATTTCCTAGTATCTCACAGAGATGACAATTCTGAGAAGTATTGGCAATCTTGCACTGCATTCGAAATAAAAGGGGTGAACGAACACATTACAATTCTCAGGGCTTTTGCTCTATAGAAACTTACTGTCAGAATATGGACTTATTGCCAAATGCCTGAAGCATCTTCATACTAAAAGACAGTAACCTTGATGAACCAATTATTAACAATGTATTGCAAAAAGCTGAAGGGAATTATGATTGAGTAAACATAGGTTAGTGGTTGAATTTTAACACTTTAACAGTTGGTGAATGAGGATGGAGAGTATAGTAAGAAATGACTGTGTATGTCAGGCCAGGAAAGGAGATTTCTTTCTATTCTCTCTGTTTCTAATCCTATTTTGGAACCAATCTAGTGAGTCTGATGCTAAAAAAAAAAAAAAAAGAAAAAAAAAAGAAAAAAAAAAGCATATGTAGTGAGACTGAAAATTTGAAAAAGAAGCAAAGAGAAGAAAGATTGCAGCTGGTAGGAAAGGCAAGAGTGGCGAGGTTAAAGAGTGGGTGTGAACAGCAGTTGTATTTATAGGAACTCAAGCCTGGAAATGGGGGACAGGGTGTCTATAGATTACATTCAGTTGAACTCACAGCCTAAATGGTATAAGCTGTAGTTTAATAACTTTGTGGCCGAAATATTAATTTAACACTCCGTGTGAGTTAAACAGGCATTAAGGCTTGAAGGCAGTTTGTCCCTACCTCCCATCCCAATTCCTGACTGTTACGAGAAATGAAATGGGATGCCTTAGTATATACCTTCTATGAGGTTCTTCTCTCCCCTGCTCCAAACAAAAGTTTTGAAAATATGCAGTCATAGATTTTCATAATTAACCTTTGCACTCGTGTGGGAAGTCAGCCTAAGAACAAAAGTTAGAAAAAGTCTAGAAAAGAAAACCTCAGTCTGGGATATCCAGTTCTGTGACAGAATAAATACTATGGAGTTGAAGGCTCCTATTCCTATCTCTTTACCCTTACCTTTTTCCATCATGGTGAGGGCATCTTTGGTGATCTCCTTTGTAGATTGAGTGAATCTAATGAAATCAAAAGGACGCAGCAGTGGTTATGGAAAGTTTATTTGCTGATCTGTGGCGCCACAGTGTGTTGTGGTCCATGGGTCATGACACTACCTAAGAAATATTTATCTTTGTTGTTTTTTATGTGTTTATTTTCATTGTTTTCTGTTTCTAAAGTTTTATTTATTCACATTATTGGGAGAATGGGGGGGGGTCTATTTACATAGTTTGTAAAATGAGAGGTTCACAGTTCTTGGAGCCAAAAGCTTTTCTCATGATATTTCTAGGAGTACCGACTACTTAGTTTTCGAAAACAGTTTCTTGGCAACTGTTTTTCCAGTGGATGTGTAGAACTAGACCATGTTGATGTTTACATAGAAAAGATAAGATAAAATAGGCTGTTTAAAGTATTGGCTGATAGACAATATCAATTTATGAGACTATTGTAATGTTTAAATATCCACTCAAGAAGGAAGTTGTACCTAAGAGGATAGTGCTTTAATAATTTATCAATCATCATCTTTGGATAAAAGAGTCAACTGTAACATTTGTTGCTCTCCTTTCAGGCCCCCAGTCAAGTAAATATGACAACTGATTTATTTTGAACCCACGAGGGCTTGCCACCTCATTGGGTGTCATAATTTAAAGCCTTTTATTTCCTAGAGATCTGAACTATAACATTTTTACTTTAGCCCCCTGCTATTTGTTTTGAAAGGAAGCAATAATTTGTTCCACCAGCACACCAAGTGGAAAATGGAGAGATTTACCACAGACTTGTGTTTTATGCAGGGACATGAGAGAAAACCTTGGAGAGTTTTCACCATTTTTGAGACTTTTGTACCATAGGTGTATTGATTGTATTCATGTCCAGCCTTCCCCTTTTAAAGCAAATCCTCTTATGCTTTTCAGCCTCTTCTACAAAGTTGCCTTCCTTCAACCCCTAGCCAAACACAAAGTAAAAATAACAGAGATCCACTACCTTAAAAGTGGTGCGAGTGGGACATTTTCAGCATGTAAATGTGCCCAATTTGAATCTTCAGGTTTATTTTTCATTTGCTTTGATATGCATATTTAATACATTGCCCCAGGCTGGATCTCATTTGGTGAACACTGGTGCAGGGGTGATGATGAGCTACTTCAGAAAGGCCCAGACAGCGCGTTGTTTTCTTGTTTTATCTGTTGGCCCACTATTCTGATCTACTGAGCTTCCTCATGGTTTTATTTGCACATGAAATGCTGAGAGCATTTCAACTTATTGGCTATGAATAATGACAGCTAAAAAAGAAGTGTAGTTTAATTTGTTGTGTGCCAAGGTTTCTCTTGTGGAGGTGACAGTTTGTGACAGCTGTTTGACACCCCCAAAACACATACACCTCTACTTTTATTAAGTGGTATCCAGCTTCATTGTGTGTGTGTGCGTACGCGTGTGTGTGCGTGTTTAAGGAAGGAACGTGCAAGGAGAGAGAGAAAAGCAGAGAGAAATGCATCAGAAGCAAACTATTAGGTACCAATATAGTTTCAGTATTATTTAAAGGAATTTGAAAATGTAAATAAAGTAATGAATATAAATATCTTCAAAGCAGCTATATTGGCAGACTTAAGAATAAGTTTTATATGTTATTAGTAAATCATGTCAATTTCACATTTCATAAAGTTATATAAATAATTTGATATAACATAGATGCATTAAAAGAAGACAACCATAATATTCTTGCTGTCCATTCCTTACATTCAATGAGGTTACTGAATTTGTTCATTTATTATTAACACTTACATATGATGGGTGTAGTGATAAGAGGAAGTTTGGAATTAAATAGAAAATAATAAATGCAATATTGATTATAATTTTGTTGTATTTAGTAAATTCATAAGGCATGCTTATGTTTTTAATATTATAATGTATTTTGTTTTTTACTGTAACATAATAATAATATTTATAGGTAGGAAAGAGTTACTACAATATTTTTTGGAATGTTGGGGAGAAAAAATATATAATAGTCAAAAGAAATAGAGCTCTGTTTTCCAGCTGCATTCATGTTAGTCTCCTAGACATTCAAATTTATCATATTTAAAATAAATATGTCTAGAAAACAATTTTTAAAGAAGTTTCAATTTGAAAACTGCTGTGAAATGACCAGCTTTTTCTAGTCTGTGGAGTTTCTGAATAACAGGTGATACTCAAATTATCTATTTTACACAATTTTAGATCAAGTATTTAGACCTAGTACAGACAAAGAAAATATATCCTCACATTGACATGTAAAGATATTACATATCTTTAGATCAAGTTCAGACAAATGAAATCTGCTTGCTTGAAGTATATTCTCTGAGCTAAGCTCTATTTGCTTGAAGTGCATACAGTTATATAATTATATTGTTATTCCTAGTTAATGGTCCTAAAGGGCTACATTTTTATTTTCTTTGAAAGAATTAAGTAGAGGGAAGAAAAGACAATTATGTCTGTTAACAGTTAATAGCAGATACCTTAAAATTGCCTGGCTCTACTAACATCACTAAGTAAAGAAAAATTATTTTAATTTATATGTTGAAAACTATAATTTAAATGAAGATATTCTGGTGTTTTCTTTTGCATCTCTGAATATATCACGTTTATGTTCACACTGTTTGTTTGTTGGTTTGTTTGTTTGTTTTTTCAAATGGGTTAGGTCAGAGAGGAGAGTCTCCAGAATCTTATTTCTGACAGAATAAGGGCGAGTGACTCTAGATAAATTCAATTACTACCTGAAAAATTAGAGGGAAGTGACAGCGAGGGGTGGGATAGGTTCAAGTGTTTGTTCTGTAGAATATCAAGGGGGAAATAATGAAATTTGATACTAATAGTAATGATATGAATGCTTTATTTTATTTGCTAGTTTCTTATGTGTTAGTGTAAGGTGAGAGCTGATGGTATGCTATTCAAAGCCTCTGGGGCCTATTCCGATAAAGTTCTATTCAGAGCTCTGTCCACCAACTCAAAGAAACATGGCTGGGGGCACGGGTTTGCTGTCGTGTTGCTGCTGCGTGGTTTCTGGTGGTTGATAGCTTTCTTAATTTCCCATTAAGAATAATTATACTATTTAAATCATTTAGATTGTGCCATTGGAGTATGTTTTCAGTGTGACTGTGATGAGATGAAATTAAACAAAGGTTGTACTTGACAACCACATAGACATTCACTAGCAGATTTTTTTAAAATTGGCATTAATTCATTTTCTTTTTTTAATACTAAATGTTCTATGGAATATCCCAACACAATTCAAAGTTATAAGAGGCATTTTATAACATGGCATTACGCCAACAATACAAGACATTTCTGTCTTCTCTAAAAGTTGCTCGATTAACTGGAGAAATCATTTGCAAAGGGTACTTGCCACTTCTGTGAGAGTTGCTTACATATTAATCCCAAAGCTTAATAGAGAGGTAGAAGTGGGGAGGTGAGGGAAGGACCCCAGCTTTATTTACATTTTTAAAGAGTGAGTCCAGGTTCTGAAAGCACACATAGGTCTCCTGACTTCTTATGTCAGCTTTACAGTACCGTAGTTGAAATTCCAACATTTGTTCAAACCATACAATTAACATTTTTAACTTTTGTAGACTTCAGTACCCCAAGATAGGAGTCCTTGTCTTATTTTTAAAAATAATTTTTGCATCATGTTAATTAGGAGTTAAAACATTATAAAGTTATAGGAAATAAGTAATTTAATTATGTATGTTGATACAAGTATATCTTCCCTTTGTTGTTTAAATATATCAAGTCAAATTAGTTGTACATGCTTCATTTACTGATTAAAATATCTTCATGTATGTTTACTATTACTCTCTACCTATGAGCACATACCCTGAGTTACTTTATTGTATTTTCCAAGTTTACATGTAATTTCTCTCTTGATGTTATATAGTTTTGTAGGTTCTAGAGGTTATCTGGTCTAACTTATTAATTTTAAAGAGATAAAGGAAATGAGCCGCACAGAAATGAGGTACATCACTTGCTTAAGTTCACCTGACTGGTGAGAGGTGGCATGCCAGAGTCTTAATTCCAATCTAATGTTTTCTTTCCTGTACCATGTCCATTGCATTGCCTTTTCATTCATTTGGGATCTAAAATGAGTTTCAGATTATTTTAGATAGAACTTGTATGTGGCATGGCCTTTGCTTTTCTCCTTGAAGCCTCATACATTTTACTTCTCCATTCAGTTTTGTATTTATTTACAAACCCTTTATACATTTTACCCCACTGGCCCCATGGAAGAACCATGTGCCATGTGGAATCATTTAAATAGGGAAATAACACCATTTCACCAAGACTAATTAAGTATTCTCTTATAGGTAGGTCCCTCATGGAAATGCCACAATGGTTTAAAATGTTACAATTCCAGTATGTGCAACTTCAACAAGAGAGGCACACGTATGATTTGCTTCCTGTGCCCAGAGATGCCTGTCCTCTCTATGCTCTTTTCTAGATTTAGCAAAATTCAATGATGGTGCTAAATCAATTTTTTTTTTTTTTTTTAACTTTCAAGGGAGAAAACACTGGCAGAATTGTGTTTTCTAGGGAAAGCTCTGTGTAAATGAGAAACAGAGTACAGCAGCAGAGCGCTCTCCTGTGGCCCCACTACTACAAGCTCTGCCCATATTGTCTCCTGCTTTTATATTAATTACAACTTGCATTATCAGCTGTGAGTCTGTAGCCCAGCAAATAGAAAATACTGCCCCTAGAGACCTAGCTTCTTGTATCTATTTTCCATCTCCTTCTATTGTGCCTCACTCAGTATTCACTGCTTTTCTCCTGGTAACACTGCTCTGTAACACAATTACGTAAGAGCAAGAAGAGTACCATATTTGACTCCCAATTACTAAAGCCACTGGGAATAGAAGCATGTTCACTCCTTGCCCTCGGGTGTCTTCATGATTTGTTTTGGCTGGAGAACAGGACATATATTGTGGAATGCATATACCTGAATGCTCAGTCATACACGTGCACCCAGCGAGCGTTTCTCTGTATTTTTCTACTTGCATCATGTGTTTTTACATGCTTTTGTATGCCACTTTGGTTTCAGGATTCGCTAAACTTCGGCATATAATTTGGCAGAAAGCCATGCGATTTTTCTCGAAGGATGTAAACTTGTAAACTCTAAGGGGAAGAATAGAAGAAAGGAGTCGTGATATAAACAAATATTTTAATCTCAGGAAAAAAAGTGTTAAAAGTAATAGGTTTTGTCCATCCATGTCAGTTACAGTTTTTTATGACCAAGGAGGAACAATTTTTTATTGACCAGATTATCAACATTTGTATTTGTATATGGTCACATCACCACCACGTGTAGCTGAATACAAACAACTTGGGGTAACTCCTCAGCCTGGAAACCCCAGAGGGATTTATCTGTTCTTCCTTCTTTCAAATCAGATGACTATCGTGTGATCCTTAGTTGGTGTTCAGTCTCTCAAACAAGACCATAATACTTATACTTGAGACACTCTATGGGAAATAAACATGACACCTTTTCAGGAGAGCATTTTTAAAGAGTGAGGAAGAAAAGAGGGAAGAGATAATGGAATGGTAGGTGAAAGAGTGAACTTAAGTATATTCTGGGAATGGGCAGAAAACCAAAGACCCCATTTATTTGGAAGAACCAGCTGCTCTTAAAAGTAATATTTGCTTGTGTGGCTTATTTTTCACCCCTTTACTTTAGAAAACGTCTCCTTCGGATACCATTGAAAGAAATACACGGAATTATAAATGAATGAGGACTAACTTGAAAACTCAGCACCAGTTTAGCTGATAGGGACAAACCAGTGTTTTCAGTTACAGGAAGTCCTTCTGAGTGATCCATTCAAATCAATGCAGCGCCTAAACAGAAAGACTTGCTCCGGCTTCATTTAAACGATTATATAATAGCTATTGGATGACATTTGCCTTAAAACATAGTTGAGGTGTTAGTGGTTAATTATTGTAATTTTCATGAGGGGTAAGGAGCTTTTATAGCAGCCGGCTTAATAAAAAGCCTGCAGTGCATAAAATTAACATCATTGCTGTGTACAATGAAAAGTTTAGCTTAGGTGAATATGTTGCAGCTATTTCATTTTCTAAAAGAAGTCTCTAGCCTGTGTTGTTGCAGGACTAAACTCACACCATGCTATTGTTTCTTTTTCTTTTCTTTCTTTCTTTCTTTTTTTTTTTTTTCCATGTAATTCCTCGAGCTCTTTATCTCATTACCACCCGGCTAACAGCTGACACGAAGAGGCTTCAAAGCTCGAGGAGCCCCTGTATTCTGTTTGCCTTTTGCTTGAAACTGTTGGAGTGGTTTCTAACTTAGATGAAAAAGAGAGCTCACAGACATGACTTTGTCTTCATACAGGCAGCAGAAAACCTTGACTTTTATTTTATTCTACTCAATTTCATTCCCTAATCTACTTTCTCAAACATATCCTTATTTTAGAGATCCATACCTGTGCCATATTTATAGTCACAAAATTTCTGCTCAGGGTTTTCACTTTGAATCAATTGCTCGCCTGATAGCAGTGCCAGTAGCATTGTTTTATATAGATGTTATTAATCCATAGAGCTCTGGATTGTTATTTCATAATCTATCAGAAATGCCAAATATTAATTTACAGTCAGTTTGCTGCAGATCTGTAGAGGGAAAAATAAGTTTTGTAGTTCCAAATAAGAACATTTCCCTGTTTTTTCTCACGTTGGTTTCTTGTTTTATTTTGGTAACATCATCCCTGCTGTATGTACACTGTAGAGTTGATGCTGAGAAAAATGACAGACTGACTTCTTTTCTTGATGAACTATATATAATGGCAACATGGCAAGATTACTTTCCCTTGGTCAAGAGGTTTATTTGTTGCCTATACCCAGGTGGCTCTATCTGAATTCTTATTTACCAATTCTAGTAAGAAACAGTGTATACTTTGATTGGTTTTTTTAGTGATATACTTTGTGTACTTTGGTGTATACTTTGTATACTTTGATTGGTGTATACTTTGTAAAATGTGTCTACTTTGGTGTATATTTTGTATACTTCGGTGTATGCTTAGATTGGTATATACTTTGTATGCTTTGATTGGTTTTGAGGAAATATTTTGCCCCTTCCTCTGACCCCCAAATCATTCACTTGCCAGTAGGTCCGTGGGCTTGACTGAAGTCATCATATACAGGTGACAAGTGTACAGCTCTGGCTTTAAGGCTGGACTGTTTCATATGCTGTTCCTACTCTCCGTTTCTGCCAGAGGAAATTCCATCTCTTGCCTGCCTTCATGTGGTGCTGATAAAGTCCTTCCTGTACATTAGAATTCCTGTTTTCCTTTAAGCAACAGCAGGGCATTGCGAATGATCAGGAAAGGGGAGGAGGAACAGACGATGAATATGCTCAGCCAAGTAGCATGAGCTATAACTCTTGGTTTGCCTTGCATGTCCTTTGAAACAAGTAGTTCTTCTAGGAAGAAGCACTGCTCAGTGAATTTCAAGCTTCTGTGAAGCTCAAGTGAAAGTCCTGTCTAGCTTACTAGATGGCCAGTAGTTCATGTGTGTTTCTTTTTTAAAATTATTTCTACAAATTAAAGCAAAAATCAATAATTTGTTAGGTATTGATGCAGTGATTAATATCATTACCTTTGTTGATTATATAGTCAATCAGTTGATAATTTTGAAAGTTTTTATAGGCTATTTTAGGGCAATGCATTTGAAAGATGTCAAGGGCTGTCCCATATATTGTAGAGCCCGTAATTTTTTTAATGGAGTCATTGAATTTTGCAGATGTTAATGTTCTGAAGTATTTAGTGTCCAAGAGCATTGGAACCTATTTCTTGGAAGAATGTACCCAGTTAAGAGAGTGAGAGTAAAAATAACTTTTACATATTTCATTAATTTTTTTTTTTTACTTTAGAAATTAACTTTGTTTAGGTTTACATTTGTACATAATAAAATTTACCCATTTAAAGTGTACACTTAAATCAGTTTTAACCAACATATACACTGGTGTAACCATCACCACATCAAGTTCTAGAGCATCTTTTCTTTTATATACCTATTACTAAAAAGACGGCACACTGTAACATGACATGTGTATATGCCTAGTGCCACAAATACTAATATGCATACTTTTTCTTTGTCTCTTTCTGTGCCGTTCCTCTTGGTTCCTCATTTATGGCTGAAATGGTAACTGTGGAAACATTCCTTGGCATCCTGACATCAGAACCCTTCTTCTTGGCGAGACCACGATGATGCAACCTCAACCCACTCAGCAGGCACCCCAGGGCCCTCCAGTGGGGGCCATGCTTCCCAGAGCGGAGACAACAGCAGTGAGCAAGGTAAAAGGTCAAACATTTTCCTCGTGCAAAGTAGGCATGACTAAAATAACATCAGTATTTTATGATATCAGTACATCTGCCTCCATGTAAACAGGAGAGTGGCAGGTTAGGAGTAGAATCAGCTGCTATTTAAAGAGACAGTATGTCCTCTTCTTAACTTACTTTACTTAAAAAGAGAAATCAAAGTGAGCTGTTGAATCTTTATGTAGGCATTACAATAACAATTGATTAGTTCTGCCAATTCTTTTACAAATTTGGTTATCTACACTTTATTTCTGTGTGTGTAAGTGGAATGACAGACCTACTTTACTGCTGTGATGCAGTAGCTTGAATTGTGCTATAAATAGCATATCTTGCCTGTAATATCAACAATAAGCATTCTTTATAATCAAGCAATTATGCCTCTAAAGCACATACAATTTAAAAATCTGTTCTTATTAGCTCCGGAAATATTGTGGGAATTTTACATGGAATCTTATCTTGGGAAGGTAGATTTTGAATTCTTAGAGGATTATTTGTCCCCATTTCCATTCAGCTGACATGGTGACTTTTGTCACAAGTCCTAAAAATTAGAATAATCAGAGGGCAAGGGGGACATCAACTGCAGATGTTGAGGAAGCCTAGTGCAATTTAGAATAAATGTTACTGTTTAAAACTCACCTATTGCACAGAAAGCAATTATATGTTGGTAAGAATGACTCATCTATGGCTAAAATGATAATTTAAAGGAAGATGCATTATTGAATGTGGGCCAGAGAAGTGTATAGATTTTACTTTTTAATATGTTACATTAGATGGTGTCTGATCTCCTAGGTCTATTTCATCTCTATTATGACTGTGTTTATGGCCACAATATTTAAGTATTAGACAGGCTTCCAAGTAGAGGGCAGTTTAACAGCTTGAGCTGTAGTTATATATGCCATTTAAAACAGGGTGTTGATGTAAGTGGGGTGCCTTCCGTCCTCCAAGCTTCTGACTAGGAATTTTGGATTTCTGAGGTTCTAGAAGAGTCTAGAAAAATGTCCTTTCTAGGATGCCATTCACTTGTGAATGGGTCCAAATTAGAATCTGAGTTTAAGCAAATCGAAAGTAACACAGCGATGAATCCTATCAGATGGCAAATTGTGGAAGAACTTGCAAATTGTACCTATATAATATATACTGTTTTATATACTGTTTTATTCTACCAGTTAGTTTCTGTATAAAAGATAAGTAAATTATAAGGCATTTTCAGGGTAACTGGTACATAGGGTCAATGGATCTGCAAGCAATGACTTAACTGTGGTTCCATGTCACAGTGATGGACTTCTCAGCATGGTTAAATCTGGAAAGCTTTCTATGACTCCATCCTTCCCACCACCCCAAATTGCGGCGACACAAAGGGTGAAATGTATCTATTAATAAAAACAAAATACTCTAAACATTGTATAAAAGAGGGGAAAAGGAGAAGCCGACTTAATGGTCTAATGAGGCTATCTTCCAGAGACTTCTTGTGTGTGAGGCTCACTTTGACCTTTTGCTTTGCTCAGGAGCCCAGCGCCTCATTTTTCACATTCTTGCAATTACGTTAACGCTTCAAGCATTTCTGACTCCAAGTCAGCTAGCAACACCAGGCATAACTCAACACTGTGAGTTTTTCTCCTCTCTGTAGATTCATTAACAGGTCACCAAGGTCCCAACTGAAATTTAAAACTGACTGGTTCTGTTGGGTTAGTTGAGTTATGGCAAGGGAGATAGCAAGAAAGGGCCAGAGAGAAGAGGAGGTGGGAGAGAGACGAACCCCAGGTTTGGAGCCGGGATTACTTGTAATAACGAACAAAGCATAAAGTTTTATCATTTTGGTTAGTTAGTTTTGTTTTTTTAGGAAAGAGAAGAATTCCGAGACTGATATATAGGTAAAGACAATCACACAAACTTCTGTGCTGTGGGGAGATGCACCCACTTACCCAATGTTGAAGGATTTGATCCCTGTAGGATTCTGTTCCTTTAATCATATCTCTGTGGGATTAAATAATGGACATGGTAGCTTATGGGTATGAGTGCTAGGAAGTCAGTCATTTTACTGTATCAATGTTTGAAAGAAAAAAAAAAGGTATGATTTCTATACAATGAAGACTGCTTTGGCATAGAAAATTTCCTACCTGGCTTGCCACATCAGTGATTAAAACACATATATAAGGGCATTCTGGCTTTTTACAGCACACTTTAAAATGTGAAGGCCAGACTTGAGTGTATTTTGTCATACTCATGCCTATATTAGTCTTTTAAACAGGGTTTCGAGGTAGTTTGATATTTTGTCCCACCGAATTGTCCAGAGTAGTTTCAGCGGGAAAGATTAATTATCTGCTTCAGGGCAAAGTCAACAGAGATATTGACTGAAATCGCATATGCTTATCCTAGGTTAAATCTTGGGGTTGATGTATAATGGAAAACGTGGGAGAGAAATTTATGTCCTTAGTATTAAATATATTGTAATGTTTCACTGGAAATCAAGTTTGTAGTTTAGCAAAGAGTTTTCTTATTCAGAATTTATTAGCAAAACAGGCATATGGAAAACTGTAAAATGATTCAGTTTCAAAACAAATTATGATAAACACAAAAAATAGGGATGAATTGTACTAAATACAATGTTTTCATACACATTTTAAATTAAACTTTAATAGCCATATGCTATAAAACAATACATGTATTTATGTTGCTTTATAATTTTTGTGATTATGTTTACTATAATGATTCATACAAACTTTACTTTGGAACCTAAAAATACCTCATTTTATGACCTGATAGTGAAAGAGCTACAGTTACACAGGTGAAAGTTCATCTTTCCCTCCACAGTGTTTCAGCAGTGAACCAAAAGGAGGAGAAAAAAATGTATATCACATTTTAAAAATATCATAAGAAATAAACTTGGTAAAATGTGAAACCTGACTTTACTATCTTTCAAAGAGCACATGTCTAACAGTAAGCTATCTAAATATGAACCAGACTTTTCATTCACTGATTTCTCTTGCTAAAAGCAGCCAAAGGAAGGGAGTTTGTCTAGTTAGTCACATTAGAATGAGGAAGGAAATCTGGTTTTTCAAGGATAGAATTAGGGTGCAGACTTGGGGCTCTGGGGAAGGAACTGGCCCTCTTTGTGTCTCGCTTCCCATCAGTAAAATGGGGCTTGATAATAAGTCTAGGGATCCCTAATTCTGTACCTGCTGAGTCAAAAGCTGCTTTGTATTTCACTGTGTATTTTGCCAGAGTAACGACTAGGAAGCAGCCCCTTGTTCCTAGAGCACTCAGAGCCTTAGATGAAAGGCACAATATATGTACAAAGTATTATTATTATTGATGGGTTTGTGTAGCTCCCATTAACGCTGATGGGAGTTACGCATGTGAATTGGCAAGAGAATAGACCCCTCAGTGTTTAGAGCACATGAAATTTACATTTTTTCCCGTGCTGTAATTGAGATGTTGACAAATTGGAGAATATTGATGAGCCTTTGTTTTAAGTATTTCGTGCCAAGTTTGTTTTATTTTTCCTGGTTTGAACAATGGTATGGGTTCAGCAGCAATGAATAAAAAGGGTAGAGTAAAGATAACTTTGTATTTCAATATTTTGATGTGCCAATATGAAATAAATTGTCTTAGGCAAATGGAATATGCTGTTTTAATCATTAGCTATGCATGAAAGAAAAATTGATGTTGACATCTTTGCTGTAAAATCGTTGTAATGGGGCCTTCCTTACAATTCATTTTTGTAAAATTCATTTTGTACATTTTGCAGCAATTGAACAATCCCTGCACTGTGAATAGGCAGGATTCCCAGAAATACCGAGACAGTTGGCCCAGTAACTGCTGAGCTCACACTGCACACCACACGCACGTTAACCATACTGTTGCCAGACCCAGTTTAACCTAAATACATTAGCATTCTAGAATCTATATTGCTCTAATCTTTCAGGACACAGGGCTGTACAAGCCAGCATAGTTCTCCCTAACTCTGCCACCTACCACATCCCTCTGTGGATGTCCCCATCTATTTTCCAGGCGATGAGGCTAGAATTCCTCATAGCTAGATATTTATTTATGTATTATACAGTTCTTTAGCAATCATGGTGTTGAAACCTACAAATACCTCCTTAGTAGTGAATGTGTTTATAGGTAAGCAAGTGTCTAAAATAGTATTGCACTTTTGAGCTTATAATACATGTTATAGTTATAAAATAGTATTTTTTTCCCATCCAAGTATTCCAGTTATATATTTAAAGGGATATAGATTAAAGTTATATATATTAAAGAGGAGGAGGGGGCTTCAAACCCACTTACTGTGGGTCCTGAATATGTTCTACTGGGATTTCTTATTCAGTCTAGGAAAACTCTGTCAATGGAATGTTTTCATAGTGGCGGCAATCTCTTTAAAATAACCCTAAATACAATATGACAGATGCCATCTGGCATAATCTTTTGCTAGTTGCTTTTAACTTTTATTTTTCCTAGAGCTAAGTTCATCCAAAACTGGTCACTTACTGTTATGATAAATACGATGACATTTTTTTTTCCTTCTTGTCCCCTTAATTGTGTCAAAAAAATTCTCTGAGACTATAATTGATAATTGAACATTGCCATGGAATAAACTGTTGTATATGGACTATTTACATTGCACTTTCTTTCTCTTTTTTTCCCCCCAAATAAAATTTAAAAGAATGCCATTCTTTAACCATCAGGAAACATCCAAAGATTTTCTGTCGATTTTCTCAAGACTTTTTAGAGTAGTAACCATTAGAAGTAAAACTGAATTCTTCTAATAAATAAATGCTCCAGGAGCATGTAATGGTACTCATAAATGCTTAAAAGCTTTCTATAATTGCTGTTAATTTTGAGTAATTTCTTCCTATATGTATCAACTTACTTGAGAAACCCAGAGTTGGGATTTCTAGATTTTTTTTTTAACTTAGTCATGTAAAGGGATGTCTCCTGATGCCAGTTAGAGTTTAATTTAGAGTAGTAATTAA